GGGTGGGGGCAGAGAACGTTGCATCCTGCAGTGGGATGGGACACCTGGGAGCCCAGACTGGCACGCCCCGCCCCAGGAGGGAGGCGGGCGTTGAGTGGAGTCTGGACGGCGGGAGGGGCGGAGCACTGCCCATGCCTCCAGCAGCCCCTGCTCTCTCGGCCAGGCGACCCCAGTCCCGAGGCTGCCTGCCTTGCTCCCGCCCGGAGACCCCGACGCCCCCTCAGTGGCGCTCTTGCGCCCCCCTGCTTATCCTGGCTCCGAGAAATAAATTCCAGAAGCAAGCGCACGACTGGCTCCTGTTTGTGTCTTGTGGTCACCGTCACCGTCACCCAGGCCTGGCTCCGGCCCCTGACACCCCCTACATCCTCCTCCCCACTCTGAAAGATCTCAGCCTGCTGTCCACAGAGGGCGGGCACAGCACCCGCCAGTGTTTGCTCCTGGTGGGGGGTCTTGAGTCAGAGCGCCCCTCACTGTCCCCAGCCACTGACACAGCCGTGACCTGGACACGGCCCCCTGCCCCTCCCAGCCACACTCCCTGGCGCTGCCAGTGACAGCCAGTCTGCCCTGGGCTGGTGGGGACCAGTCGCTTATCTCCTAATCCCCAGGCAGCTGCCCACGCCCTCATCCCCCCTGGGCAGGAAAGGCCTGAGAGGAGGGCTGCTGGGCTTTTCCAGGCGAGGGATTGGCGCTCTCAGATTGACTGGAGAGCGATAAGCATTTCAGGGACAGGCAGGAGCATTTGTTTGGGGGTGCTGGAGTGCCTCTGGCCCACGAGGACAGACCACCTGCCTTCTGACTCCCGGAGCACGCCCAGCCCCCGGCCCCCTGCTGGGCCTCCAGGGCACCGCCCTGGCCACTCGCCAGGGTCTGGGCACCACCCGCTGACGTTGCTCCTGGCCTCCCGCCCTCTCCCAGATTCCCATTCAGGGTGACCTCTGTCCCAGCCCTGCTGGCGCACAATGTGGGGGACCCACTGTGGCCTGCCCACCAGGCCCCCGGGGTGGAGCCCACAGTCGCCCCCCCGGGGGCACCATTTCCAGGCCCGGAGGGGAGGGTGAGCTGCTGGGTGGCCTTCCTGGAGCAGGAGGCCTGGGGGCACTGAGCAGAGGGCTGGGAGCCAACATGGCGGAGAGACTGCAGGAGCCCAGGGAGGCAGGTGGGCGGGCAGTCAGCCCCCGGGCCCCACGGCCTGCTGGAACCACGCGTCCCCTGGCTCAAGGGATGAAAGGCAGAGCAGCCAAGCCCGATGGCTCAGGGTGCACCCCGACAGGAGCCTGCGGCGGTGGGCTCCGTTCCAGTGGCCAGCACTGCCCCAGGGCGTTTCTGGGGCATAAAGCTCCCTGAGGGAGGCCCCCAGCTCCCCCGCTCTGCGTCCGAGGAGACACCCGCTGCCTCCGTCCATGATGCTGCAGCCCCTGCTGGTCGCCTCCCTCCTGGCCCTGCTTGGGCTGTCCCCAGGCTACATAGAGATCCCCGTCTACCCGGACTTCAACGCCAGCCAGGTGTGCCCAGCACCTCCCCTCCTCCTCACAAGGAGCCCTCCTGCATGGGTGTTCTGGGAGCTTCCTGCCCTTTTTTTGGCGTCGGGGTCTCACTCTGTTGCCGGGCTGGAGAGCAGCGGCACGCTCATGGAAGTCTCCACCTGCTGGGCTCGGGTGATCCGTCCACCTCAGCCTCCCAAGGAGCTGGAGCCACAGGCGTGCGCCACCCTACCTGGCTAACTTTTTTTTATTTGTCGTAGAGACAAGGTCTCACCAAGTTGCCCAGGCAGGTCTCGAGCCCCTGGGCTCAGGCAATCCTCTTGCCTCCGCCTCCCAAAGTGCTGGGATGACAGGCGTGAGCCACCACCCTTGGCCCCCAGCCCCTCTTTGATCCAGGCTCGAAGGTGGTGGGGGGTAGGGTCAAGGGAAAGCCCCCACCCACTTGCCCCATCTGCCTGGGAGGGAGGGGGCTGGGGAGGACACAGGCCCCCAGCTGGCCCTTGGGTTGTGCCTGCTGCCACAAGCCACACCTCACCCCTGCACCCCACCGGCTCTGTGTCAGGGTCAGCATGGGTGCCGGCCTGGCCTCAGCTGGGAAGCGCCTGTGTCAGGGCTGGACGGGTGGGCTTGAGCCCAGGGGCCGCCTCCCAGCCGCCCTGCACCTGCCCTCCAGTTCCAGGGCACCTGGTACGTGGTCGTGATGGTATCAAACGACCAGGACTTCCTGGACTCCGTGGACACCATGAAGATGCCTGTGGTTTTAGTGACTGCCTTGCCCAACGGCGACCTGGTCCTCAAGTATGGTTACCCCAAGTAAGTGACCACAGGAGGAAGACCTTAACCTCAGCTGGGGCCCCTGTGAGGTCAGGGGAAGGCCAATAGGACCCAGAGGTGGCCCCGATGCGTCCTGGATCAGACCGCAGGCTCTGACTGGTGCTGTCTGGGTCCCTGCAGCCCAAACAGCATGGCAGCCCCTCCCAGGGACCCCTGTCACAGTGAGACCTCAGCCTGAGGCCCAGTGCTAGGCAGACGGAGGCCTATGTCTGGGTCCATGTGTGTGTGTGTGTGTGTCTGTGCGTGTCTATGTGTGTGTCTCCCGTGTGTGTCTGTGTGCCTGGAGACCCTGTACCCGCTGGCTGTGTGCCCCTGAGCACTTGTATCATGCCTGCCCACCCTAGCGGGCGCCTCCTCCCATGTATACCATCGCCCTGAAGTCCCTGTGTCCTGACGGATTGCTGTGAGGGTGAACCGTGGCCCTAGTGGCCCGGGCAGCGGCCTCTGGATGGCAGGCAGGGCCAGGGCTGTGGGCAGGGCCATAGCTCTGGGCCCGGGGGCCGGGCAGGGGCTGCCACTCAGGGGCCGGCCTCCTCCTCCCTCCCCAGGCCCGAGGGCGGGTGTCAGACGCTGTACATGAACTTCACCAAGGGTGACCAGGAGGGGCGGTTCAGCAATCCAGGTGAGGTGAGCAGGACAGCCAGGAGGGCAGCGTGGGCAGGGCCTTAGGGGGCCGCGCGGGCTGCGGGAGGGGCACTCCAGGCCAGGTCGTGGGCTGGGGGCATGTCTTGGGGGGCGCCCTGGGCCTGGGTCAGTGGCTCTCGCCCCTGCAGCCATGGGGCAGACCAACATCCGCGTGGCCTTCACGGACTACGAGCACTACGCCTTGCTGTACTTCGAGATGCAGAAGAGGGGCGTGCGGAGCGTGTGGCTGCAGCATTTTGGTGGGGCTGGGGTCCCGGCCCCCACACGCGCCTCCCGCCCTCAGTCCCCAACCCCAGCCTCCCCGCTCCCAGCGCCCTCCGGGTTAATCTCCCCCATGAGGCCCTG